CTGAGTCGCTGGACTAGAGCCATGTGGTCCCTACAGTATAAAATCAAAAGAGAGAATATGAAGTATAGACCAACCAGCTCTTCATATCCAATAAGAAAACAATCAAGTTGGGTGTGGTGGCATAGGCCTTTAATCCCAGAACTCGGGAGGCAGAGGCAGGTGGATCTCTGTGAGTTCAAGGCCAGCCTGTTCTACATAGTGAATTCCAGGCTAGCTGGGGTTACTGGGAGACCCTGTCTCAAAAAGAAGGAACATCAGTAATAGAAACAGAATGAGACTTCAACTCAACTAAGGAAGGCTTGAGTTTCATACCAGAATCACAAACAAAAGTAACCCACATGCCAAAATTACAATGAAAAAAAAATACAAACCCCACAAATAATATGTTCCTACCTATCTCCACCAGTCCTGTAGAAGAGTTCTACAATCAGAACCCCCTAGAGATAACCTAGGACAAAGAATTTAAAAGAACAATCATAAACATGATCAAAGAATTCAATGAATTTAAAGAACACACAAATAACCAAATCAAAGAACTAAAAGAAGATAGGGGTAAACTTCTGACTGCATTCACAAAAGAGAAGTATTGAAGAAAACCCAGGCTGAAATGAAGAAGGAAGTGAAAAACTCAACAAGCCAATTTGAAACAAGAGGAGAAAGCCTTTATGATAGAATGAATGAAATAGAAAACAGAATATCAAGACTGGATGATAAAGTTGAAGAATTGGACCACTCAAACAAAGATTATGAAGAATTTTAAAAATCACAGGAATGGAATATGCAGGAAATGTGGGACACCATGAAAAGACCAAATTTGTGCATCATAGGCATAGAGGAAGGAGAAGAATCTCAGGATAACGGTATTGAGCAGATCTTCAATAGCCTTGTAGAAGAAAATTTCCCAAAATTAAGAAAACACATACCCATACAAATACAAGAAGCACATTGAACCTCAAACAGACAGGATCAGAAAAGAAAGTCCCCATGGCATATGATAATAAAAACACTAAGTATAGAGAACAAAAAGAGAATACTGAACACAGCAAAAGAAAACCAACACAGCACATATAAAGGAAAGGCCATCAGAATTACAGCTGACTTTTCAATGCAGACTATGAAAGTCAGAAGAGCCTGGACCAAAGTATTCCCAGTTTAAAGTGACCATAGATGCCAACCCAGAATACATCACCAAGCAAAAATGTCATGGTTGAAGGAGGAAGGAAAATATTCCACAGCATGAATAGGCTGAAAGAATTCATGTTCACAAAACCCAAAATTACAATGAATACTTGAAGCAATACAAAGGGGTAAAGAAAGGAATGACTATACCCAAGGGGCAACAGAAAGAAACTAAATGAAGGTACAACTGTGGAAACATAAAGTTAGACCGAGAATATAAAAAGAAATAAAAATAACGGCAATCAATATACATCTCTCAATAATACCTCTAAAAATCAAAGGTCTGAACTCCTCTGTCAAAAGACACAGGGTAATTGAAGGGTTTAAGAAACAAAATCCACCCCCCCAAAAAATCCAACCAAAATCCACATTTTTGTTGTCTGCAAGAAACCCATCTCACCTTCAAGGACTACCTTAAGGTACTACCTTAAGGTGAAAGGATGGAAAAAATATTCCAGGGGATGCAATTCTAATATCTGACAAAATAGACTTCAAACTAAAACTAATCAGAAGAGATAAGGAGGGTCCCTTCATTTTGATCAATGGAAGGACAACAAAGAAGATATAATCATGAACATAAATCATCAAACTCTGGTGTACCCAATTTCATAAAAACAGTACTACAGGACTTTAAGA